ACTAGTGAAGAGTATGTATATTTTACAACTTTGCTTCCAACTCAGAATGGGCGTTTTCTGAGTTAGTTTAAACTCCTGTCACTTCCTACAGTTAAGGTTTAGTTTTTTAAAAATGTAGTCATGCACGTTTCCTTTTAGGGTTGACTGTGAATGGCACCTACAGATACTTGAGGGCTCTAACCACAGGTGGCGGGAGTCCTGGGGGGCACAGACAACAAGGGGGAGGGGATGTTTCACCTGGGGATGTTTCAGCAGGTCAGTCACAGGTCCCTGAGCCAGGTGAGCTGTGGGGACCAATCCACCAGCGCAGAGGCCGGAGCGGAAGGTCCCCGGCTCGGGTCTCCACCCTCGACCTGCGTAGCCTCCAGTGCCTGAGCTGCGCTTCTCAGACCCCGCCGGGGGCCCTGCCCACCATCCCGGCTCCTCCCAAGGCCCCGCCCACAGATCCTGGTCCGGTCCCAAGCCGCGTTCACCACCCAAAGCCCCACCCACCGGCCGGTTCCGCCCACAGGCCCCGTCCACCAATCAGGCCCCCGCCCCGCAAGCCCCGCCCATCCTCCGGAAGTTCTAGCACGGACGGCGAGGCCCTCTAGCCTGTGGTTCCGAGGCTCGGTGGCCGTGTCTGGGGTTGGAGGTTGTGGGTTCGAGCTGTAGTGTCTCCGCCGCGGCCCCGGTGCCTGTCTCCGTCTCGCAGGCGCGGCCGTTGCAGGCAGCGTGGCCCCGGCGCTCGCGGCGAATCTGCCTCTGAGAATCGGCGGGCGCGGCGGCGGTGGCCTCGCGAGAGTCTGGGCCCGGACNAGTAGCAACGAAAATAATTTTATGGTTGGGGGTCACCACAACATGAGGAACTGTATTAAGGGGTCGCGGCATTAGGAAGGTTGAGAACTGCTGCTCTAGACTGATCAGGAAAAAAAAGAGGCAGAAGACAAAAACGACCAATATCAGGGACATGGATGTGAAAGGGACAGGAGGAAACGTTTAGGTCATTGTCTTGATGTGGTGATGGTTTCATGAGTGTAAATACTTATCAAACTCATCAAGTAACCCTTGGGTCCAAGAAGAGATCAAAAGGGGGAGCTTAACAAAGCATGCATTTTAGAATGTTATTAGGCCTCAACAAAGCTGTTAAAACAAAACCACAAAAGCATTATTGGGAGGAATTTTAAAAGACCTAAGTAGAAGGCGAGGGGAAAAAGCCAAGCAGAGGTATCAGAACGTCACCAAAGCTGGAGCTCAAGGCTTGCCCAGGAGGGTCCCTGGGAACACCCCAGACTTTGGGTTTGACCCTGAAGGGCAACACCCTGAAGGCAAGAAGGCAGGGCCTTCCAAAGCGTGGCAGCATCCAGGAGGGGGCCCGACCCCACTGGGTGGCCAGAACACCACCAGAGCCTCACCATTTTCTTGACAGTGACCACCACGTAGCCAAGATCCCCAGCTGTGCCAGGACACAGGATCACAGTAGACCCAGAATAAACAACAGACACAGATCCACAGGCCACCAGACGTTGACATTGCTAGAAGGAACCTTACAATGTGACTAATGTGTTCAAAAACATAAATGAAAAATAAAGAATTTCATCAGAGAATTGAAGCCTAAAGGAAAATAATTCTATGGAAATTCTAGAACTGAAATATAAAAATGACAGAAATGAACAACTGCATAGATGACTTGAAAAGCAGATTGCACACGGCAGAGAGAGGACTAACGAAATGCAAAGCAGTGGATAGAAAACGCCCCGGATAGAAGCGTGGAGAAGAAAGCAGTAGAAACACAGAGTTTGGGGCCGGCCGAGTGGCGCGATGGTTAAGAACTGGCTTGGGACGCCAGAGGGCCCCGGTTCGGATCCCATATATGAGGGCCAGTGACACTGCCCTCCACAGCTAAGAAGCTGAGCAACAGCTCAACCTGGAGCTGGGCTGCCGTGAGTCGCCGGCGACGGCGTAGGCTGCAGTCCCTGTGGCAGTGGGTTGCCATGGGCTACCGTGTGTGG